GAGGTTTGAGGTCTAAGGAATGTGGAGGTGCACGTGGCCCATGCACAGGCTCCTTATGGTGGCCGGTATGCCCCTAATTCCATGTTTCATTTAATCCTTCAAGTTACGTAGTGTTTCAAAAATATTTCACATATTTAAAATGTTCAAGGTTTGTTTCAGAGGCTCCTGTTCTTTTTCAGGAAAAAAATTGTTGGTGCACTCCATCTAAGTAAACGGTTTGAAGATTTTAATTATTGCGTTTTAGTTTATTAAACTAGCTTCATAGATTAAAGTATACTATTTTAGAAGTCGGAGTTTAATTAAACTAATAAATCTTGTTAGCTGTCACATAGCTAATTAAATTTTTTAATTGGCCGTATTAAAATTTGACTTTGTTTTATTTAAATTCGGCATATCGGCCCATATAAATTATAATGTTACTGATACAGATCATACATCATAATGATGACCTGAACATGATTATTAAAGCTTGAAGTACCAGGCACAAAACGTGGAATTTGACTACCCGTCAATTTTAAGGAACTTCATATTGTGGTAGGTCATGTTGTGCAAGTCAAAAGTCCCTATCGATGTATGTTACTTTGAATACAAATAGTACAAAAACTGTTTCAGCAAAAATGAAGGAAATTGGAAAAATCGTTACAGAGAGAAATAAACAACTAGTGTACTAAAAAGACTAAGGATGAATTGTAAGACAGCCAATATTATATTACATCCGAATGTCAATGCCGAAAGATGAAAAGGAACACTTTTTGTAGGACAACTGTATAAGACAAGTGCTGTATCGATGTAGCAACAGTTTAGGTAAGACAACTGTGACAGATTTACTATTAAGCTTACTTGCTGATAAACTGGTTTTATGAAAATATTTCAGCTTCGTTTTTACGTATGAAAAGGAGGTACAATCGATTAAAAATAATAATACAACGAAAGTTAACACAATAAAATTATATACGTTTAGGCAATACTCAGCCAATCTGCTAAACTACATTTTTATGTATTTACCACCGTTCAAAAGTCTCTGGGCAGATGATGGTCGATGACAAAAAACTAAAAAAATGGTTCCAAGTAGATTGGCTCTATACCTCCTAAGCCTACGTTGGAAGCTTTAAAGGTAAAAGGGATAAGTTAAATCGTGTCAAAACGCGAAATCGATTTGTGATTAGTTAAAGCAAATCTACTATATTTCTGTTTCCATGGCCGATATAGGGAAAATATGTATTACTTATTATAGTATCACTGGGATCAGCAACTTCTTAATAATGATTTTTCACTGACATCACTTTCAAATTTTGAACCTCTTATCATTCATGATAAGTATTGATGTTGGCTAGCAGGTTGTCATCTATTTTAACACAAGCGATTATTTTAAAATGATACAATACAAACTGAGAATTTCCTTAGACATAAACACTTTTCTACATGAATCATGGGATTTCATTCCAAACATTAACCTGCTAATTCGCTTTTAGGCTCCTCTAATATTGTGAGATAAGTGGCTATATGCCAATACTTAACAGACTTCGACTAATCCTTTTGCGTTCAAAAAATATTTCATTTGTATAGTGTACTTAAGCTTGTGCAACATGATCAATATGTTCACAAAGGTTTAGTCTACTGTCAAAGTGCGTACCGAGAAGTTTGCAGGAATCAGTTACAGAAAGGTCATACATTTTTAGCTGAATCCTAATAGTACGTTGGATATTACAATAGTGTATCTCGAATAACAGGAAGCGCACTTTAGCGCTCATCCGGTATCGATAAATGACACATTCTTCCGAAGAGCCGTGCATTTCGGCTGGTCAGACTCAGATCACCCACTACTTGATCTGGCACGAACGCATCTCGTCAATAGCAATAGCTGCTGGGAAAAGGCTAGGCTATTTGTTTAGGGCTCTGCAGTACTTTTCTCCATATAACCTCCTCACCTTGTAGATCCAGATAAGATAAAGATGCGAGTACTGCTCACATGTTTGGAGTGCTGCTGCGCTGGCTACATTCTCCTTGCTTGATGCTGTTTAGAGGAGGGCTGTCCGATTGATCAATAATTCTTTCCCTCGAACCGGCTCGCGATTCTTTCGCACCGACAGGACGTCGGCGATCAACAGTTATGTCAAGGGGCTTTTCTCCTCAGAGCTCTCACCCATGATACCGCCGCGCGATGTCGCTGTTAGACAGACCCTCTTGACTTACCATCCTAACCGTGTCGAACTTCGTTACATCCAGAACTGTCCGATACGACCGCCCCTGAGTCCCTAGGGTTATTATATTATGGAACAATCTACCTGAGGAGGCTTTTCCCAATTCTACTAAGCTGAGGTAGTTCAAAGATTGAATTAAGAGAGTTTCTTTAAGCTCCTCATAGCAGCCGCAGTGCTCTGGTATTTAGGCTTCTGCATATGCGATAGCTTCGATGCCTGAACTATAAGAACCAACACTGAAATTTCACACGTGAAATCTGTGATTAAATAATCAACTACAATATTTAAAAATGGTTCCCGTGAGATGTCGCCAGTATGTCGTATTTTCCTCTGTTAGGGATTAGAAAATTTCAACAACTTATGGTTAGTTCGTACAGTAGCCGGTAACTTGTCTGTGACTGTCAAAATCAGAATCAGAGAGATGTTACCTGTTCGTACAGTTTCTGACTGTTTGCCGACAGCTAGTCCGGTGTTTGTACAGCATCTTCTGACAGGTCGGAGTACCCCAGTCAATAAGTCACAGTGGCAGGTATCAGAGTGTGTCGAAACTATCTTGAGGACTAATATTGCTTCGCAAAAGGCGATTACTATGAGCGATATATCAAGCAACAAATATTCAGGAATGTCAGAATTTTCTTCGGAAGATGAAGACTTTGAAGACCTATTGGAAGAGAGAATGAAACCCAAAAACCTGAGATTTGTAGAGGAAGCACTGCCACAAGTCAACAGCATCTAGTTTTTGGTTCATTTTCGGGTGAGCAGGGAAGTGGCAGAAGAAATATCAGAGAAATTCCGTGGCAGTAGCCATTTTAATTATCAGGTAGGGCCATATGGGAAGCTAACCCCGTATAAACAAACGCGTATATTTTTATGGTTTACTGGATATCAAACAGCCAGCTTCAGGGATGTGGCTGATAGGTTCAATGTTTCTGTGAGTTACCTGCATGCTGTTATAGCCAAAATGACCAACTTTCTGAGTAGTCTCGCACCGGAAATTATAAAATGGCCTATAGAACAACAAACAAATAGGACAAGGCAATATTTCTTGAATAAAAATGGATATACTGGAATCGTTGGTATTATTGATGGAACCCATATAAAGATTGACAAACGAGAGGATGATCCGTTATCATAGATCAATAGAAAAGGATACTACTCTATACAGGTTAGTGTAGTTATGAGTATGTACCTATGCACCAAGTAGAGTTACTGATCTCTTAATATATACAGTTTACCTAGAATTAGCTTAAAACAACGGTTGTGTATGGGTGATTATCATGAAAGGTGAAAATTTTGAGTACTCGCTAAAAAATATCATTTTATAAAAAAAAATCCAAGTGTTAATAATGGAGGTACATTTTTAAAGTTAAGGAATATTCATAACTAATAAGTGCATAGTCTTTAATATTTCTGTTTTTTTATTTATAACCAAAAAACGTATGAAAACCTCACCTCCGTGACTGTTCTCTTTTACCATTGCCATCACAAGGCTACATAAAAACTATTACTAAGGAAGAAATCTATAGAAGTTTTATCTTGAATCTCCAGAATTTGTTTTTGTAGAAGAGATATGAACAAAACTTTTCTTTTGGAATATCATGTAATTTACTGTTTGCGCATCAACCCCTGTTCTGGAAAGTAGGTATCACCTCCGTGACGTACTTTTTGATGCAGATTTCGGCTCACAGATGGCGAACTATTCAATTTCTGGCATTGTATCGCGTTACAGCAAACCACGACCTATTTCGTTCAGTCGATATTAGGGACTGAAAGTGATCAGATGGATTCTCTCTTTAGTTTAAGACTTGTTAACCACGTGGAACCTTTGTTGTTCTCACATCCGTGAATTTGTTTTTTTTTTTTGGTAAGTAAATAAGAAAAATGCGTAGTTTTAATATTGATAAGTGGCATAATATTCCCACTAGAGCTGGTTTGAAATTTCTTGTGCAAGACATTTTCACAACAAGTTATTAAAGAAAAATATGGTAATTCCTCACTTCCGTGAGCCTCACCTCCGTGAAGTTACCAGTTCACGGAGGTGAACCAAGTTTCACGGAGGTGAGACATTGTAATGGTTTAGTGAATTGAAGTAATATATGCACCGACATTTTCAGAAGATGGCTCGTTTAAAAGTACAGAACAAAAATACAAAAGCTCATCACGAAGCAAAGAAAAGAAGGCAGCGCGAAGCGAAGCTATGAGAAGGCTACGTGAATCAAGGCGACAGGATCCAGAGAAGTATGAAGAAGACAAGCGAAAAGAACGGGAACGGTATTACCGGAGAAAAGAAGCTGGCCAAATTAAAACCATTGACCAAATGTCAGAAAGAGAAAAACGGAATCAAAGGAAAGAGTGGCGGAATAGAAGTAAAAAACACTATCTTGGAAAGAAAAATGCAAAGGAGCTCGAGCTTAAATTACAAGAAAACTCACCACCTGCCACTCCAATCCCGGAAGAACTAATGGCTGAAGCACTATTGATGAAATACTTCAAGAAAGGATGATGGAAGAAAGAGGCAAGGCAGGTCACGAAGAAGAAAACACGTAAAGCTCTAAGAAAAGAAATAGATTTGTTAAAAGTCGAACTGGAAAAAGAGAAAAGAAAGAAGGAAAATATAGAATGAGACTAAAAAGATTAAAAAAGCGACTGCACAAAAACATAGGTTCGCCTGAAAAAAAAAGTGGAAGCACTAATCAAGGGACAAACTGTTTCTCCTGCTGTTAAGAAAAAACTGTTATTTTCAGAAGTTATAGCGAAACAGTTACCAGAAAATTATCGGGTTCTTACAAATCCTGCACAGAAAAGCACATTTTGGAAAAATATTTCTGGAAATGTTGTAAAAAAGTACAAACAAATAAGCTATTTGAAAAGAACTGCGTCTGTATTTACATTCTCAAAAGATAAATCTGAAACGAGATTAGTAAATCAGGAATTCATCAGGCAACAAATAAAAAATCCTGGAAAAAGATGACTGCAGTACGCTCTGCCCTGGCAAAACGATTATGTTATAAGAAAACATGATAAGAGGCAGAAACGATTACTAAATGATACACTCAGAAATCTACATAGACGATTTATAAAAGAAAATAAGTTTCTAATTAGCTACACAACCTTCTGTCGATTAGGCCCATTCTGGATTATACAGCCAAAAATAGAAGAACGAAATACCTGCCTTTGTATGATCCACGCGAATATGTGGTTGCTCGTTAGAAGGCTGAAAATCGCAAATATTATAAAAGAGAATTCTCCTGAAGAAGTATGTAGAGCCATTTGTTGCGAAGGGGAAGTACTGAAAGAAATATGTTTAGAAAGAAAATGCGAAAGTTGTAAGAAGAAAACAGTAGTTACAGCTAATTTCATAGATCGGACACCATAGTTCATGAGAGATGGGTTATAAAGCGGGTTACAATAGTAGTGAAAGGAAAAGAAAAGTTGTGTACAAAAACTTTTAAGGAGAAGCTTACGTCTACTAAGGGTGAGGTTCTTCAAGCATTCCTTAATTCATTGCAGCCTCTTTTGCATATAAAAAATTTAGAACACCAGATGAGAGAAATTCGAAGATCAAAGAAAATATGGATAATACAGAAGTTCTAATACATATGGATTTCTCCGAAAATTATGGATGTAAATATGCTGAAGAAGTCCAGTCAGCCCACTTGGGGGCTCAAAAATGCAGTTGAGCTTGCACACGGTAGTTGTGTATTATAGAAGCTCTAACAATACTATGCAAAAAAATGTTTCTGTACAGTATCCAAAAATTGCGGCATGACCCTGAGGCATTTGCGCCCATCTACTTCCCGTTTTTAAAAAACTCAAAACCTTTGTAGGCAATTTGAAATGCGTTCATTTTGTAAGTGACGGACCCTCAACCCAATATCGTAACAGAAAGATGTTCAATTTGATGGCAAGCTTCATTACGAACGAGTTAAATGTAGAAAAGTTACGGTGGCATTATAGTGAGAAAGGTCATGGCAAGGGAGCTCCAGATGGAGTAGGGGAGTCTTAAAGCGCACAGCTGATGCTATGGTGGCTCGAGGAATGGACATATCTAACCTACAATCTTTTTTGTTCCATTTGAAAGCAAACTGTAAAGGTCTCATTCTCTCTGAAGTTCAGATAGATGATGCAGAGCTTGACAAAATTGAAAAGACGATACCTAAAATACTGCCACCGTATACCGGAATTTTACAGTGCCATGAGGTTGTTTGGGTGAAACCACATACGTTCCTAGATATTCGAAAGCTCACCTGTCTCAGCTGCTCTCCATCCAAAGTTTGTTCTCATTATTCCTTGGGAACTTACCAATTGCAGCAAAGTATCCTTTTTTATCAAATTATTTTGGCATTTTCAAATATTTTCTAATTCCTCATTTTTCCTTAACTGATTATTAGCACATAAAAGAAGACTGATATACTCTGAGATTTATTCATCATCGTCGGAGGATGAAGACGACAATATACCTTTAGCTATGCTTTTAAACTGAAATAATTATGCTCTTTTACATTTATATAATCGTTTTTTCGAATAAAGGACTAAATATAAACCAATTTAACATGAGTTTGCAATTATATGAAGTAGCTTTCACATCCGTGAGAGGTGATCACCTCCGTGAAATATATTTTTTCGAAATCCTCATAATTTCAAAAACCAATAGGTAAACTGTTTGACCTTATACCTAATCAAATATATCTTATGATGTTTCTCCGCGAAATTGCAACAGATATTGGAAAAACTCGATTTTTTTTTCTGAACAAAATTAGATCGATTTAATCACCTTTCATGATAATCACCCGTATTTAACTTCGACCATATACTAAGTGACATATAAATCCGAACACCCAGTTTAAACGGTTTTATTTTAATAAAATTTTGTATAAGTACTTAATGAAGCATAATAAGTAAATGATAAAAATTTCAAAATGATTGCACTGCTTTAAAGCACTTTGACCTTTAATAATGTGTGGATGCACCCTGATGTGCTACGCATTCTCCAACGCGCCTAGGCATGCTTCTGATCAGGTGGTCAATGTCCTCCTGTGGTATCTCATTCCGAAGTGCTTCTAGAGTCTGAGGAGGACGTTGCAAATTGAGCAATCTCCTACCCATCATATCCCACACATGCTCAATTGGAGATAAGTCGGGAGATCTTGGTGGCCATGGTAACAATGTGACATCATTATGTTGAAAGAAGTCTATTGTGACTCTTGCAACATGTGGTCGGGCATTATCTTGTTGGAAAGTTGGATCTGCCAGGGTGTCAAGAGAGGGTAAAAGATGGGGTTCTAGAACTTCGTGGATATAACGCTGCGCGTTCATGTTACCTCTGATGAAGGTTAAAGGTGACCTGGAACCATAAGCTATAGCACCCCAAACCATAACTCCGACAGTGTGATGAACGTCTTTCAACAAAAAACTGTGGATTCCTCCTTTCACCACGTCGCCTTCTAACCCTGCCACTACCATCGTGCATGCCTAAACAAAATCGAGACTCGTCACTAAAGACAATACTGTTCCATTCCTGATCCCAGAGTGACCGTTATCTGCACCACTCAAGGCGATTACGTACGGCCTTCTCGAAGCCATGCCTGACAACACCTAACCACAGTGTCTACACTTCTTTGCACTCTAACTGTAATTGCCCGAAAAGAAAATCCAGCTTCCCGAAGTCGCACTATACGGCCCCTATCAAACTCACTAAGTTGGCGAAATCATACAGGTCTCCGTACTCTAGGCATCGTAACCGATCGTAAAGGATGTCAAGAACCAAAATCCGCCAACGTTGATTCTTTACTGCGGCTGAAATATTCATTTTTAGAGCGTTAGTGAATTAACAAAAAGCAGTATAAAAACCGGAATGTCCAACTGATAAGGCTGAAAATTTTTTCACTTGTTATCTACAGTAAGATACATTCACCAACTTTTATTAAAATAAAACCATTTAAACTGGGTGTTCGGATTTATATGTCACTTAGTATATGTACATAGTCGTTCTTTCGATGCATTATAATAGTTGTGCTCCATGCTCATTTGCTGCTAATTTTCAATTATTGCTATATGACTGCATACCTACATCTTGAAAATACACTACATTATATATATATATAATAACAATAAACGTCTTTATTTCCAAATAGACTGATTAGATAAAAAATAGCCAAATACGGGCGAAGTTCAGCTGTAGCTGCTCTTCCACTTAACCCGCTATAAAAAAGTCTGTCCAAAAGGTGAGTGAGACCTACTTATTCTACACATTACAATTACTAAATGTATATGCAGTGCTTACATACATCTACTATAAAAGAATCATAAACTTGTATCAATTGTTTTCCCTGAAACATGGTTACTACTGCTGGGATAAGAGATATTTTTTTAATTGAGTTTTGAAGTTTTGAAACTTGAGATGCTCAGATGTCATATTGTACCGGAAGGGTGTTATAAATGAAACAAATTTGGTAGCTGAACGATCGTTCAAATTGGGCTGTTCGGAATATCGGCGGTGTCAGCAACCCCCTGGATCTTATATTGATGTTATGCACATCTGTTCGAAATGTAACTTTTTCAAATAAGTAAGGGGGTCTTATACAAAATTATTTTATGATATAATGTTGCGGCATGCAAAAATCTTCTTGTTTCCATGTTCAACCAATTCGCATCTTTCACTTATGGGATATTCGGTCTCGTCTTCTGATGCCATATATTAATCTGAGGCAAAATTCTGCGCAACCTGAATTTTTTGTTTGTAAGTGGCAGTTAAGCATGGGCCATACAACATATCAGAAAAATTGAAGTGCGAGAGCACCAACGACTCACATAGATTTATTTTGACTTTAACGGGAAGGTTACGTCTGTTGCCGTACAATATTTTTAAAGAGGAATATGCTTACGAATGAGCGAATTTACATGTTTTTCAAATCTTAAATTTACATCCATGTTATACCCAGTTCTTTGCTTCCTGACAGTTTCAAGTTGTTGTGCATTGATGGTAAAGTTAATTGAGTTAGTAACAGCCTGGCGCGCATGCTTTGGCCCAAATACAATTACTTTAGATTTGCTAGAGTTAAGATGTAAAAATGTTCTTCGGCATTCTTTGTCAATAATGATAAATCTCTGTTGATGGTTGCACTCAATGTCCACATCACTGGGTAGAAAACTATGATACAGCTGAGTGTCATCAGCATAGCAGTGCATTTTGCAAGTATTTAAGCCTTTGCCCAGGTATGAAGTATAAATTGCAAAAAGGAGTGGACCCATAATAGAGCCTTGCGGCACGCCTGATTTTAAGGCTAACACGTAGAATAACTTCCCTCCAAAAAACCTTTTGCTTTCTGCTCTTTAGATACTTACTGAAAAAGTTGACACTATCCGAATCGAGGCCTATAAAATGCATATTTAGGAGTAAATTAAAATTGATCGTATCGAAAGCTCGACTAAAATCCAACATTATCAAACTGTACACCTTCCCTGATCAGTGGCTCTGATAATTATCTGTTACATGTAGAAGTGCAGTTGTACAGCTAAAATTCTTTCTAAAACCAGATTGAATTGGAGAAAGCAAAGAAAACTTTGATAATGTTCCATAATTGCAACTCAACCGCTTTTTCTAATAATTTTGACAATGCTGGTAAGATGCTTATTCTCTGAGGTGATTAAAATCTGAAGGATTTAGCTTTTTGGGAGTTACTTTTACAACTGCACCCCCATGCTTCTGGAAAAACATTTTGAATCAAACAACAATTTATTATATGCCTGATATAAGGAATAACATGTGGACAGCAAAGTTTTATTAGAAAGATACCCAAGCCATCACAGCCTGCAGCATTTGTTTTAATACCAGAGATAGCTTGATATATGAATATTTCATCAATTTCTAAATTTGAATTTGGAGTTTGTCAGACAGTTATTTTTGTAAAAATTTATTAAGGAATCTGGAGGTTCACTTGGGGAGATGGAATTTATAAAAAAATCATTCAGAAGGTTCACATCCATTAGGTTAGGGGGCAATGAGTTACTAAAGTTATTTTTTACATCTTGTTTTGTTTTAATATCCTCCACATTTGCTGAGAGAACTGCTGTAAGAACTTATGCAAGAAACTACGCTCTTTTCTCTCTTCCAATAGCGCTAGTGACATAATTCTTTAAATCTTTATAATACTGTAAGTGCGCATGAGTACCTGATCGTTTATAACTTTTAAGTGCTTCATCACGGAGCTGCTGCATTTGTTTGATTGTATCAGTCATCCATGGCGCCCTACCTTTTGTAACGCGTTTTCTAACTAAAGGGGCATGTCTGTCGAATAATTCAACTAAGCAGTTAGTGAAAAAGGCTATTTTCGTATCAATGCTGTCTTGGTCGAACATTTGGAAAAAAGATATACCACGGAGATCATTCAGAAAATGTTCCTCATTGAAAAACTGAAAACTTCTATAAGTGATAAATTTTTCTTTTGAATGTGGATTACAAACTGACATTTTACAAAAAACCAAAAAGTGATCTGATACCTGGCCAACATCAATTATTCCTTTGTCTAAAACAAGTTCCCCGGTAATAAGATAAGATCCAAGAGCGTTGCTGAAACACCCGATATTCGCGTTGGTCCTTCAATAATTTGTGTTAGCTCGAATACCTCTAAAACAGAATAAAAGTTATTAACAGCACTATTCAAGTAAAACAAATATATTAAAATCTCCCGCTATTATAACATCATCCACAGTAGGATATATCAAACTCAAAGCTGTCTCAAATTCGTTCAAAAAGTTATTTATTTCGACATATGGAGGCTTATAAACAACACCAATCGCAAAACGTTTATTATTCAACTTAACAGTAATCCACAATTGCTCACTAAATAACTTTTCTTCAATTTGCATCAATTCACTATTAATGGTATGCTTTACATATATGAGTAATCCACCACCCCTAGTATGTCGATCAATTCTGTATAAACTAAAATTATGAATGTGCACCGCATCATCATCAATTCCAGCATGTAACCAAGTCTCACAAATTAAAAAAATATCAAAAGAGTGCTCAGTGATTAGAGATCGAACATTAGATATAGATGGTAACAACGATCGAACGTTTAAGCTACCTATGTTTATATTTTGCATGGTTATCGAAAAGAAGCCAACCAGTTATAGCGCCTACTCAAAATAAGATAGATACAAGATAGTAGATAAAAATAATAATATATATATATATATATATATATATATATATATATATATATATATATATATATATATATATATATATTTTCTAGTGGTATTAGGCGAGAGAAAAAAGCCTACCTCGATTATGTTATGAGACATAAAAATTCGAAGACTACATGGAATATACTTAGATCTTTGAATATCGTTAAACATAACTCCATAAGTCTACCTCCACATCTTCAGGATCTCGATTCATTAAATAGTGCTTTTTTAAACGTACCTCAAACAACCAAATCATTAACTCAATTGAACCTTTTAGACAAATATGAAAACGTCAAGAATAGTGGTACTTTTCTGTTCACGACAGTTTCCCCTGCCACTGTAGAGAAATTTATTGATCGCATCAAAAGTCATGCTAAAGGCTCAGATGGCATCACAATTGATATGATCCGTATAATACATAAGCATTTGCTCAAGTATATTACCTTCATTATTAACTTTTGTATAACAAATAATCTTTATCCCTCTTCCTGGAAGAATGCTCTTGTTCTCCCTCTGCCTAAATCTAATTATCCTTCAAGTTTTTCTGATCTTCGTCCTATAAGCATTTTACCAAGTTTATCTAAGCTTTTGGAAATGGCTCTACATGAGCAGCTGCACACATTTGTTTGTCAAAATAATTTACTGACCACCTCCCAATCTGGATTCAGACCATTACATAGCACCACCACTGCGCTCCTGTCTATATCGGATAATATTTATAGCGCGGTTGATCAAGGAAAGCTGTCCTGCTAGTTCTTCTTGATTTTAGCAAGGCCTTCGATACGGTTGACCCAAATATTCTCTGTAAAAAGCTTAGATACTTTGGCCTGTCATCATCGGCTTGCACGCTGATTAAGAGCTTTTTAACTGATCGCTCACAGTCAGTCATATATGAAAACAATATATCAACTTCTTTATTCAGAAATTTTGGTTGTCCCTCAAGGATGTATTTTGAGTCCCCTTTTATTTGCTCTTTATATATGTGATTTCATGAAACCGCCAGCAACTCAATCGTTCATCATTACGCCGATGATACCCAACTTATAACTGCTTCGATCCTGATGAATATATGCTTGGCCAACATCAAATAAATCAAGACCTGCAGTCTATTTTTGACATATCTAGTGCTCACAATCTAAAACTAAATCCTGGCAAATCATGCTGCATTTATTTGGGCCCAAAAGAATCGTGAAATAACTCAATATCGCATTAATATTATGGTGAATAATGAAGACATATGCTTCGTAAACGAATCCAAAAACCTTGGTATCTGGTTTGACTGCAAGCTACGCTTCACTAAACATGTTAACCAACTATGCAATGCGTCCTATAATGTGCTTCGTCAGTTATATCCGAGTCGAAGTGTCCTGTCGACACAGCTCAAGCTTAAACTCTGCGAGTCCCTTATCCAGTCAAAATTATCTTACGGTGACTCTGTTTATGGACCTGCTCTTTTACAACGTGATGCCGAGCGGATTCAGATGATACAAACTCATGCATCAGATTTTCTTATGGAATCCGTAAATTTGATCATATTAGTAGCGCTTTTGACCAATCGGGATGGTTTAAGATGAACAAATTGAGGAAACTGCATTGCCTATCTCTGGTACATAAGACCCTTATCCTTAAAGCGCCATATTATCTTTATACAAAACTAAGCCTCCTCTGCCAGTGCGATCAAAGATCCTCTAGGAATAAACTCATCTTACTTATCCCGCGGCATTCGACAGCATTGTTCACACGCAGTTTCTCGTACTGGGCACCCAAACTATATAACTGCTTATCAAGTGAGTATAAAGAATATAGCCTAAGCAATTTTAAAAAAAGGTTAAAGATGAGTTTAAAGCAGTCGGATGCTAAAATTTTACTTTATGCATATCCACAGGTAATTGATTGTTTCCTTTCTCTGATAAGTGTTATATTCTAAGTTTTTTTTTCTCTCTCTCTCTATAGTTTGTGTCAATGTTTTCCAGGTCGGGTTGAAAAACAGCATAAGCTGACACTCCACCTTTTCGTCACTGTTCCTTTTAAACCAATTATTTTGTAATCGTGTGACGAATAAAGGCCATTTATTATTATTATTATTATATATATATACTATATATACTTCGAAGTTGAGTCATTTATTTTAACAGTGAGTAGATCTGATCAAAAGAAATGTTTTTTTCCTTTACCATTTTTCTGGTAAAATTAAAGTAACAAAGTTATAGCCCTTTGGAAGTTTGAGTACCGCCCTGTCTCAATAATAATATCATGTGCTGGTGTTTGGCAACAACGGATATGTATAATCCGCCTCGGCTCATCGCATCGGAAACAAAAAAGCGAAAGAATTTGGAACGATGTTTTACAATTATGTTATTCAGTTCAGTTATACATACAGTCAGTGTCAGTCGGTTAGCGTGTGAATAGTGTCTGTTGCGTATATACATATACATACATATACACATATATGTAGGTTACTAGAATTAAATGAATGTTGTAATCTGCAAAAAGTTGTTGGTCTCAAAAAAAATTAGTACGAAAGAAAGTAAGAAAAAAAAACGGATTCCACGTCAAAGTGGGAGCTCAATTGCACGAGTGTTGTGCTGCAGATTAAAATGGATATATAATCATCTTAATGAGAAAAAGATAAACTGTTAGCAATACATAAATGAGAACAACTAAAACTATTCCTACTTGCTCAGAATCAAAATAGAGGATGACGTCATGACGCCGTATTGATTCATAAGAACATAAACGAGAAGAAATGTCGAGTGATCAAAATAATTGGGAAACAAATTATTAGGTATAAACAAAAAAGTGGATATACTTAATATATTCAGGCCACAAAATAGTGTTTTTATTATGGGACTATCATCCTCTATTCATTACTGTAAAAACTTAAAAATCATGAATAAAAAATCAACAATAGCGACAGAATCAGGCAGAACGTAGCCTTCAAGAATAAAAAAAATCTAATCTAGTACAAACTTTCTTTTGCAAAAAAAACGGTTGCATTATCATCTCAATATGAATGAACAAAACGGACCTCACAATTTTGCAATATCACTGAGCTTCTCTATCTTCACAGTTCTGCCTTCTCCATCATATTTGCAGAATATTGTGCCGTTTGTCGTCCAGACTCTACCATTCCTTCCCATTTTCGTGATTTCATCCTTCAGTAGCTTCAATTTATATTGAGTCAAGTCCTCCCGGATGACCATTCCAGATGATTTTAAGAGCCTTTTATTATCATAGGCGAGCTGTTTATAATACATTGAACTAAATTTAAGTACTATCGGCCTTTTCTTATCTCGTTCATATTACCCTATTCTAATGCAGCATTCAATTGCTGGTCGTTCTACGTTTATTTTCATTTTATCCCTGAGGATTAGGAGGATCCTATGCAGACAATCTTCACTTTGGTCCTCAGAAACACCATAAATGCGCAAAGTCTTACGCTTGCAATACTGCTCTTGCTTATCTTGATTTGAGATTATTTTCTCAATCGCCTCTCCGTGAGTTTTGAGCTGTGAGGCAACTTCTTTGTTTCGTTGCTTTAAAGAATCAATATCCTTTTTCACTTGTTCACTTATTACCTTCGTGATTGAGGTAGCAATCTGACCAATAAAATCTTCAGATGAGCAAATCTTCGAGACTAAATCCTTGACAGTTACGAGCAATTCATCCTCGCCTCGCCTGTTACCTTGCCTGGTATTGCTCATAATGGAAAAAAAATAAATTCAGATTATACTATTAAGCAATGCACCAATCACAATAGCACTATAACTGCTCAGTAGGCAATCACTAGCACAAACCACTTGGAAAGAATCAAAAGTATAATAGCACAATTTCTCATCAGAAATTCAATTTTGCAGCAGCACAACAAACGCGCGTCTACTCCATAGCGTGGTCGATAGACTATTCCAATGTATATATTATGTAACTATTTGTAATTATAATTGTTTTCGTTACAGGCACAACTTATATGCGACCAAGATTTGAAAATTATCAGTATGTTTGCCGGCTATCCGGACTCTGTATATGATGCTAAGGTATTTAGAACGTCTATTTTTCAAACACTGGAGCAGAGGTGTGGTGCCGACCACATTCTTGGAGATAGTGCATACCTCTTGTTACCCAACCTCTTAAATCCATTCCAAGACAGGTGCCAGTTATCATCCAGGCAACTGAACTATAATAGAAAACATTCTTCATATCGTATTCTAGCAGAGCACTGCAATGGCCTTTTGAAACAAAAATGGAGGCAACTCTACCACGCTAAGCTAAGAAGCATCAGGCAGACAGTGCATTTCATATGCGCATGCTGCGTTTTACACAACTTGTCAATAGCTGATAATTTTGCAGCGGAGCACACTGAAGATGATGGGACAATAATCACTTGCACATTCATCCATCAGAGCTGAGTGGTATGGAAGAGGATAGTAATGGCGCTCAAAAAAGGAACTATATTGTTACTCTGTTATAATCATTTATATACTCGACTATAAGTTCAAGTTTTGCATAGGACTATATGTCTAATACAACAATTCTGTTTGTGTTCAATATTCTATTTACTGGAATTGTAATACCAGAAATGCAATCTCTAGACTATGAAAACAGTGTGAAAAATCTGAACAATAGAGAACAGAACTTTCAAGAGCCGATACGATTTTTTTGGGTTTTCTAAAATGTTGGTTATAGTTACAGAATGCGAAATTACTCTATCTAACTTTATTCCTAGCTGTGTTGCAACTTTTCATGTTGATCAACTTTGCCATCTTAGCTTTTTATATTTATCCGTATTTCTGCTTGTGATTTGCCTCAAAGGTAAAAACAGTACTTGACTTGATGATCTCCCCCTTAAGAGTTTCTGTATTTTCCTAGTCTTAGTTCATTTTGTCCAATGTGAGAACTCTTTGAAAACTTTCAGCTATGTAAGCAGATTTTGGTAATTGCAGGTATGTTCAGTCGTTAGCTTTTTAGAGTATGTATGTTCACTCTTTGTTATTAAATACATTATTAAATCTTTTTAGTGTTTTTAGTACTTTCTTCCAATATAGCAAAAATATCCCACCTCACCATCATTGTTGTGTAAGCGCACCCGACTATTTTTAAGAAAATATATTTGCGGCTTGTGAAGTTTAGTGCTGTGATCAAAATGATGTAGCAGTTGCCAAAAAATCAGTGGTGAACTATAAGGACATACTTACGAGTAAGTAAGGTGATTTAGAGGTGCCTACCTCCAAGCTTACGTCACGCAATTGTGGAGTAAACTCATCCAGTCTTATGGTGAGCCTTATGTCGTTGCTCTTGACATCACTAAAGCGTTCGATCAGCCATCACACGCTGCCCTTTTGAGCAAACTTCCACCCTATGGCCTCCCAGAAATGTTTTCCAGATGGGTTACTGACTTTGTTTCTGGCCGCAAGATATCCGTCGTAATTGACGGGTTCTCCTCTTCATCCCACAACGTCAACGGGGGTGATCCCCATGGATCGGTCTTGGCTCCTACACTGTTCCTCTTACATACCAACGACCTCCTTTAATGCACGATCAACCCAAACCACAGTTTCGCTAATCACAGCACTCTACATGCAGAAATTCAAAGTGACAGCCGATCTCTGCCGCTGAGCTGGAAAATAGAAGACTAGCGACGACTCCCTTTCTGACGAGAGACCTGGAGGTTATCACCGTTTGGGGACGCAACAATTTTGTACAGTTTAATGCTTTGACGAACAAAAAGATTCCAAAATCTTATCCGGTTTCGATGGATGGCCGAGCTCTACCAAAGAGCCATTCACTTCGGCAGGTCGGAGTCCAGACCACCGAGGACCTGGTCAGGCACGAACTCATCTCGCCAAGAGCAGCAGCTGCTGGGAAAAAGTTAGGCTATTTGTTTAGAGCTCAGAAGTATTTTTCTCCCCATGACCTTCTCACTCTATACAAGGCCCAGATAAGGCCTAGTCTCGAGTATTGCTCACACATTTGGGGTGCTGGCGCCCCGACTACATTATTTATGATCGATGCTGACCAGTGGAGAGCTGTCCGACTGATTGATAACTCTTCTCTAACAGACAGTCTCGGGACCCTTTCGCACAGACGGGCCGTCGGCGATCTAGCTCTCTCGTACCGCTACACCAACGCGCTTTGCTTCTCAGTATCTTTTTTTTTGTTACCAACAATGAAGTTTTTTATGTTTTAATCTTCAATATTATTACACTAGCAATTATACATGCCATGTACTTATTTTATTCTCATTTAAGAAAATATTGCCTCTTTGAAGATTTCTGAGCATTTTCGATGTTTTTTTTTCAAGCTGGCCTTGACCAGATAGAACACAATGGATTAAAGGAGCAATAATAGGATAACTTCTAGAAGTTCCACTGAGGTTAAAAAATGACCAGCCCAAATATCGTTTGCGCCCCCCACCATCCCCCCCCAAGACGAAATCCTGAATGCGCCCTTGAATGGGTGCGAGTTACAGAACTTGTAGGCACCTTTCACATCCATTTTTATTGCTTATACCATAAAATTTACTTTGCTTTCAATTTTCAGGTGACCTGCCGCCATTCTGTATGATTTTGCTTGCCATTGGTCAGGTGTATACGAGTGTATTACATTAGTTACTTTGACTAGGTCAGCCGGAGAAGACTTCGTACATGGAGATTTATCAAGAGCATTCTATTTGTCTTACTGTCATTTTCGAAAAGGTGCTCATAGCTCACCCGGGGAGACTGTAAAATCAAGGCATTTTACATAATGAAGAAGATATCAAAACATCTGTAAATGGACCGAACCATCCCAATCCAGTGCCGAGTGCTTGCAAGTTTTTGTTCCAGTCTGAACAAAAGAGGTGTTTTTCGACCCATGATTTACAGCCTTCTCTTGAGAATGGGGGAAGCACCGCATAGGGGCACATAAACACACAAAAATGGTGCTCGTAGAAGAAGAACATATGTTCGAATAGAGATGTAATAAAATGGTATAATCAACTGTGGTTGAGATTCAAAACATCAAGTAAATTGCAGCCGAGAGAGATTTTTTTGGTATAGCTTTCCTTATCCGTTGCGATGGTTCGTTCCACCTCTAGATGCTTTGACATCTTTTTTATTATATAATCTGTCCTTATTTTCTTATGAAATGCACAAATGTGATTTCATGTTACACGATGTATGCACTTCTCAATCACATATATACAATCGAAAGCAGAGCTTTCCTTTAGTTGTTTTATATCCTCTAAAAATAAGTTTTTAAAATTTGAATACCGGTACAATATACCCGACTTTTTCCTACTAAGAGTCAAGTATCTATATTTTTGAGATTCCTAGATGCTCCTAACAAGACATCTGCGTCCTAGAAGACCAGCTGTCAGTTTTTTGATCGGCCTTACAATGAACTATTGGTTTTCCTGAACTGAACTGAAATGAAGATAAAGTTGAGTGTCACACTAAGAGGACGCGGATGGGGTGGATCACTCCGTGCCTCCAGTATAAGGCCTCCAAATGTTGAGAAAACCCTTTTATAATCATTAAATGAACATTCTTTATAATTGCTTAATGAAATGATACTGATACTGATGATACTTTAGCAGTAGCAAAAAACAATTGTTGGTAATCTACTATGAATTTAATAAAGAGCACGTGATACACGAAATGAAAATGTTGCTGTTTCTAGATGGAACGCCCAAGAAGTTCTTCAATTTATTATTAAATGGTACCCGTTGCCCTGTATATCATTGATATTATAATGTTTTTGACTATTTGCGTTTCATTAGCAATGTGAGGGAGGTTTTCCTGAGCTGAAGATTTTAAAAAAATATCTAATGTACAAATACATATACGGATACATTCTGTTAAAGAAACTATCATTTTATTGGAACTTATTGTTGTGTTGTTGATAGGAATCGAAGATTTTGTAAGAATAGTCCTTAATTGTGAACCTTTTCGTTTTAACGCATGTCATAATTACCACTATTTCATTCATCCTTCTAGGCTTGCAAAATTCTGTAGCCCACAACTATAATAAATTTAAGAATATAATTTTTTACCCATCATAGAATGATCAATTTTTTTCTTTAGTATTATAGCCGATACTTATATGACCATTCGGAGTAAAACAACTAAAAAATAGTAGTTTCCCTGTGAGCTTGTATTATAGTTTATAATAACTTCGGGAGCGACTCAAAGCCGCGTCAGTGTTCTTTAGTTTGGTGAGCGTAAGTGTTAGTAGAAGGAATATGCCATCGAATAGCAATAACTCGGACTTTTAAATATTTGTCGGACTTACAAAGGGCATGGCCTTGAGCCCTATGAATAAAAAACAAGTAAGTGTTTATAAGCATAAGGTAGAATAAAAAGTAGATGCTCAAAGAAAAACGTAGAAGCAAAAGCAATTGCCACATTCAAAATGAATCACGATTACCCTTTACTATCAAGTAAATGCATCATACAAAGGAGTAAAAGCTCATATCTAAAGCACACGTTGTGACGCTTCATCTACCGAACCCGGCCGGCTTACACCCAATAATGTACATTCCATACATCCTTTGCGGATTACGCATTCGTTCCCATATAATTTAGATTTCTCTAGTTTGGAATTCACAATTCACATATATTTATTCCAGGATCTTCAAAAGATGGAACAGCGCATTAATTACCAGATCAACAATACAACATATAAATATATTCACAACTTATTGTATTATTATAATGATTATTATTTTTTTTTTAAGCCCACAGCGGCATCGACAGCGAAGGTCATTAGCCGCTTTCCTCCTTCCCAGATGGTCACTTGCTACTTTCACCACAGGGGTAGATCTGGGTGATTTACGGTGTGAGTTCAGTAGCTGAGATATCCATTGATAAAAAATAGAAAAAAAAGACAAAACAGGAAAAAAAACATACCAAATATTTTGGTAAGACAAAAACACAAACGTGGAGGTATACAAGACGAAGACAGGTAGATACATAAACATTTTATACTCTTTTTTCTTTCTTCTTTTCAGATGTGTCGCTATCGTTTATTAATTTTACTTTTGCTGGGTCAGATTATACTTTAGTTGTGTGATACTCGGAGGGAGGCAGATGTACGTAGATTATGGTGTCACTATTTTTGTTATGTAAAGTATTAAATTGTTTGAACAGTCCTGATAGTTTTGTGAATTGAAGTAATTTTTGACATGCGTCGGTATTCTCGAAACAATCACTGATGTTGAGTGGTAATTCACAGCGCGTACGGGCATCATGAAACTGTGGACATTCAATTAGGACATGCATTAGTGTTAATTGCGTTTGGCATGAGTTACAGTTTGGTGGGTCTTCATTCAATAGTAAGTGTAAGGACGTTAGACGAGTATGACCAATCCTAATTCGTGAGAGGCACACCTGCTCCCTACGTGACAACGTATTAGGGTAAACAAACTTGCCTACATTGGGTTGTAAAAGGCGCAAACGCGTTGCACTTTGCTCCCATCGTAGATCCCATAAGTGGTTTATTTTTCTTTTAAAATATGCTTTAAGGTCTTCAAATTTTATGGGGGAGCTTTCAGAGGGTGCACTGTGCAAGGCAGCTCGAGCAGCTGCATCGGCACTCTCATTGCCTGAAATTCCTATGTGGCCTGGGCATCACACTAATACTACCGTTTTGCCTTGCATTTCCAGTTGGGAATAAAGATCAAGAATTTTTTGAACCACCGGGTCTCTACTAAAAATATCTCTGATAGCACTTACAGCACTTTGCGAGTCACTACAAATAATATACGTATCAGGCTCAGCACTCATGAGGAACTCCATTGTCTTTTGAATGGCAAATAGTTCCGCTGTGTATATTGAGCATCTCGAATCAAGCGAGAATCGAAATGATTCGCCAGGTATTATAAAGGCAGCTCCTACTGCCGTTTCAGTTTTTGAACCATCTGTGTCGATGACCAATTTTGGTCTAACCTGATCTTTAATAGTGCTCAATACCTGCGTATAAATTGTAGGGTTTCTGACAGCTTTAGAATATCTTGCACAATCTAGTCGTGTTAAGGGTGTCTTCAAAGTCCAAGGAGTGGTTTCGTAGTTTTGTATTGGGTATAGCGGAGGCATTTCTACTTCAAGACTTTCTAGATACTCATGTATTCGCACGCCAGTGGGCCTTGTCATTGTAGGTCTGGCCATAAATGTCTCATTCACTTCATCGTTAAAGACTATACTGTGGTTTGGGTGAGATGGCTGAGCCCACAGCTTAACAGCATAGTTCATCGTCAACTGTTGTATGCGGTATTCTAGAGGAGGGACGCCAGCTTCATAATTTACAGATAGAGATGGGCTTGTTCTAAATGCTCCAATACATAGCCTAAGTCCTTCTCGATGAACTCTTTCGAGGCGAAGCAGGTGCGATTTTCTGGCTGCTGAATATATGATCATTCCATAGTCCATCTTAGACATTACTAGGGCTTTGTATATCCGAATTAGAACTTCCTTATTTGCTCCCCAAGATATGTTTGATAGGCATCTAATAATGTTGAGAGATCTCTTGCAATCCAAAACAAGATTATCGATATGGGCTTTCCAGTAGAGTTTCGAATCAAAGGTTAATCCAAGAATTTTCAGATTATCTCTGACAGAAATACTTGCTCCTTTAATGGTGATATTGGGCTGGTTGTGAGGGGTTCGGAGCCTGCAAAAGTGAACGCAACAAGATTTTGTGGGTGAAAATTTGAAACCCTTATTTTCAGCAGCTTGCACCAACCTATCAAGAGTTGGTTGCAAGGTACTCTCTATCTCCTCCATAGTTTTGGCGGCATGGTAGACCACGAGATCATCTACATACATTGATTTACCAACACCATTACCAAGAGTTTCTAATAAGCTATTAACTGCGATTATGAACATAGTTACACTGAGTGTCGACCCTTGAGGAATTCCATTTTCTAGAATGTGGAGTTCGGATAGTTTATTTTCTACCCTGACCTGGAATGTTCTCATTTCGAGAAAACTTGAAATAAACCGTGGTAAGTTTCCACAGATTCCCCATTGCTTAAGCTGTTCCAGTATACCAATTCTCCAAGTGGTGTCATAGGCTTTTTCGAAGTCTAGAGAAATAGCTACCATATGTTTTCTGGAAGCAAAGCAACTTTGTACAGCGGACTCGAGCATTACAAGCTGATCGATAGTCGACCTGTTTTTGCGATAGCCCATTTGGTAGCTTGATAACAAGTTATTCGATTCGAGTAGCCATACCAGCCGCTTGTTAACCATCCGCTCAAGAACCTTGCTTGGACAGCAAGTGAGGGAGATGGGTCTGTAACTCGAAGTATTTAGTAGGTCTTTCCCCTCTTTTAGTATAGGAATGATGATGGAATTACGCCATTCTGTGGGATATTCTGCTTCTCGCCATATTTGGTTGTAGATGTATAAAAGGGTCTGTTTTTCTATTTCGGGTAGATTACGAAGCATCTCATAGTGAATTTGGTCTTGTCCTGGTGCTGAGTCACTACATTCACTTAATGTTTGCTCTAGTTCTGTTATGGAAAATGGCAAATTGTAAGTCAGGTCAGGCCCTTCCTCGAAATGGACGCCTGTTGTTTCCACCTCATTTTTAAGCTGCTTGAAATGTTGACTGTAGTTTGCCGATGAACTTGAGAGTTCAAATCGGGATGCGAGTGCTTCAGCTTTTTCTTCAGGGTCAGATACTGTTAGACCATTTACAATCAAAGTTCGACATACGTTTGAATGTTTTTTCCCAGATATGCTGCGTATTTTCTTCCACACCTCCGATGCCGTAGTATCACTGGTAATTGTTTTAATATAGTTTTCCCAGGAGGATTTCTGTCCAGACACTAAAAGTTTCCGAGCCTTTGATCTATCTCTTTTAAATCTTATCAAGTTCTCCTGGGTGGGGTGTCTTTTGAAGAAGTTAAAGGATTGTTTCTTTTTCCTTATCGCTTCGGCGATCTCCTCATTCCACCAAGGTACTGCTGTTTTGAAATGTCCAGTGTTTTTGGGTATACTACGTGCAGCGGCAGCACGTATACGTTCTGTGGGCCCCACAGTGGGTTATGGGAATTGAAATCGCTCAGAAGGATGAATGGTTGTGGGAGCTGATTGATAAGGTTTTCAATTTTCATTGGGCTTGAGATGTGTCTCTTGGATACATACACAGAATGGTGTCTTATCAAGCAAAAGTGCTTTCAATTCAGGATAATGCGATTTAATACCATTAATGTTCCATTGTATTATGTTTTCCATTATGGAAATGTTTAAAAGTTCAAAAATGCTCATGTACGTACAGATAAGACATAGACATTGCAAAGTAAAGAAGAACAAAAAATAAATATAAATAAATAATAAAATAATAAAAAAAAATACTATGTAAGTTTTTTTTTTCTTTTTTTAGAAGTTATTTAAATCACATTTCAAATACGGTTGCTTAGCTAAGTTAGATCGACGGATTCTTGCAATGAGATAGCTCCGGGATCTGGAGGATATACAGAGCTAGGACGAATTATGTCCTGAGACTGTGAAGTAGTCGTCTGAATCTCGTCGATATTCTGCTGGATCGGAAGTGCAGAGCTAAGACTGCGCTGGTCTTTTACAGCTTTTCTTGGCCGGCCTCTTTTTCTACGACCTTCTGTTTGAGAAGAAGCTTGACTGTCGTCTGAGAAGTCAGTGCCTTCTGCTGGTGAGGAAGCCTTCCTTTTTGATATATTTGACGCGTCCGATCCAGTTCTTGAGCGAGTGACCACTCCTACAAATTTTTTCGGTGGTGGTGGTGGTGGTAGATTTAATGTTCCTGGAAGTGTGATCTGCTGTGTTGGGGGAGTATTCTTAAGTATCTCAGATATAGACTTTTTAACAATGTTTTCGAGAATTGGAGATATTTTCCTCATAAAATCGTGTTCTGTTTGACTAGACATTTGTGTCGCCTGAGAGTAAGACACATTTGGCCTAGGAGTTTGAGCAATTACCTTCTTTTTAGCCTCCATGTAGCTTATTCTTTCCAGTGTTTTACACCTTTGAATGGCCAGTTCAGTTTGATATTTGGGGCTAACTTAGATTTGGCAGAGTGTGATCCTTCGCAGTTTATACACGTTATGGGGAGTTCACAAGGATTACCTACATGCATTGCTTTGCCACATACACATAACTGTTCACTTGAGCACGCTGCAGCAGCGTGTCCGAAGCGTTGACATCTAAAACATCTTACTGGTGTGGGGATATATGGACGCACTTGTAAGTTATACATAGCTTCTTGAATTTTGTCAGGGAGCCTAGGAAGATTAAAAGTGAGAATGTGATTGGCTGTGTCTTCTAATACGTTGTTTCTTCTCGTCTTAATTCTTTGAACATGAATAACCCCTAGATCTCTCAATTCTGACACAATTTCCTCTTCCGAACAATTGAGTAGATCTTTGCAGTAAACACCTTTAGTGATATTCAACGATGGATGTGGCTCAACTACTACAGGAAATCCAGCAAATCTAGTAATTTGCAAAAGTCTTCTAGATTGATCGTCCCTAACAGTTTCTACTAAAATACCTCCCTTAATTTTTACTGTTTTTGGATTTTTCCCAATGATGCTATACAGACTCTTAGCAACTAAAAAAGGACTAACGTGAGTAAAATCTTCTCCATCTACCTTTTTAATAACCAGGAACCGGGGGATCGGCCCAGCCGTCTCCGTGGTTATTCTACCTCCTACAGCTACTGATGCCAAGGTGCCCTCCCCAGAATCCGAGGGGCGATTGCCGCCTTCCGAAGAAGACGGGCGGGATTCTGAGCTTATCGCTCTACCCGCCTGGGGTATATTACCGTTGCGTTTACCTGACATACCGGCCTTGCACTTACACTCATTGGGGATTGGAGGCGAATGTGAGCGCGTAGAACCTCCGGTACGGGACATGATGAAAGGAAAAAGGATGGGGGATAGAGAGAAAGAGGAAAGGTAAAGCCCAGGGTTTGGCAGAATAAATAAGACTACCAAACCCCGAACTCCCTGCCTGGGGCCGTGGGGGCGACGCTCCCCATGTATCTTCCCTTGAAACTGGTTCAAAGATCCAGCTTCAAAAGTAGATACCCCCTTCGGGGTATAATGATTATTATTATTATTATTGTAATTATTACCATTATAATAATTATTATTATTATAACTATTATTATTATTATCATTATTATAATTATTACTATTATTATTATCAATATTATTATTATTAATATTATTATTAATGTTATTATAATTATTATTATTATTATAATTATTACTACTATTATTATTATAATTACTATTATTATTATAATTATTTTTTTTTTATACCCACAGTGGCATCGACAGCTATGGTCATTAGCCACTTCCCTCCTGCCTCATGAGGTCATTAAGTTGAACCTAGCATCTCAGGGATAGATCTGAGAGTTGGATAATATATAGAACGCACACAATCACATACAGTATAAATAATTCATTGCATCATCCCATTTACTTAATTCAAGTATGGAGGTAAAACTGAGTGTTTACCATAGGTAAATTACT